CCGGTTCCGACCGGCCGCCGGTTCCGGTCAGGCACGGTCCGTCCGGCCGTGCTTTCCGGACGGTATTTGCTCCGTCCGGCCACCGGTTCCGGACGGGCTTTAAGCCGTCCGGCCGCCGGTTCCGGACGGCCTTTAAACTGTCCGGAACCGACGTCCGGACACGAATTTTTTCGTACCTCGGAATTTGACGACATTGCACCGTACACTTCTCTGAGATGTTTACGAAAAATGAGAGGGGCAAAATTGTCCAAGGGGGGCGGTGAGTAGTAAAAGGGGGGGCGGTGAATAGTAACACCCGTTCAAAATGCATATCCGGTGTAGTGCAGTCATTTGCATTGTGCAAATCTGATTGGACTATGATTTTAAATTGCTGCAACTTGCAATTAGTTACATTTTTATATTCGCATCGACTTGAGATTGTTGCAGCTTGTACATTTATTTATATTTAATTTGTAGTAGGGTTACATTAGGTCAAGAAGACCACTTTTGACATCTTTTTTGACTTTTCTCCCTTCTTTGTGGAATTTACTTGATTTAAAATCTATAAACCATAGGTGAAGGCAATATCGGTTTGATTAGGTGGGTATTTCGCATTAATATCTTAAACATAATCGATCAAACAATAAGGGTCAACAACTTTTTTCGACACTAACGACGAACTTTCATTCTACTTTTGTCCATTTTCCTAATGAAACACGCAGTTCGGCGCACCTCAGACTTTGTTTATCGGTGACCCAATGGTTGGGTCACCAGGAAAAGACAAAAGAAAAATTAAAAAAAAAAAAGAAAAAATCAACAAAAAGGCATGACCCAAGTCACAATGTGACCAAGGGTCACAACCGGTTGGGGGAGAAGTTTGGGACACTTGTCCAACTTTTGTTGGACAAGTGTATTTTTTTAATAAGATAAAAAGTAATTTGTATTTTTAAGAGTTAATTTATATTAAAAATAAAAATAAAAAATATCAAAATTCATATTTTTTCATTCTCTATAAATAGAGACCACATATGATATATTTTGGAACATAATTTTAATTTAGTAATGATAATTGATTTGTGATTTTATTCAAATTATTTGTAACTTGTTTAACAAATTTTATTTTTTGTTCTAATTTTTATAATTTTAAATTTTAATTGAGTTCGCAATTTTATTTTAAATTATAATTTTTTTAAATAATTACGACTTTATTTATAATTTGTTAATTAATTTGTCACGCTTAAAATAATAACACAAATCAAATGTAGATAATACTTAATAAATAAATAAATAAAAATAAAATAAATATTTTAGGTTGGGTTGGGTTGAGGATAAAGATAAGTTGAGTTGTAAAGTTGGGTTGTGTAAGTAGATGAGTGAGAAATAATTTTTAATTGTTTAGGTTGGGTTGGGTTGGGTTGTTGATAAGGATAGTCTCATATCATAATAATAAGATTAATTAGGCATTCCAAGTTAAATTAATCAAAAATATTTTTGACTGTGAGTGCCCAACAAGGATTTTTATATATGTTTTTGGTCAAAATCAGGGAGATATACTAAAAATAAAACCAAGCGAGAAAAAACCAGGACCTAACTGCACCTGGAAAACTCTACCAATATTGTATATATCAGTTAGTTATACACGCATAATCTACATATTCCCTCCTCTCTCTTTATCTCTCTCTATATATATAACCCACCTAATGCAACACCACTACACTCACCACAAAAATAGAAGGAATTTAATTAGTAAGCAAAAAAAATATATATATACATAAATACAATGGCCTTCTCCAAGATTACACTTGCTCTCTTCATGATCTATCTTGTCAACCTCCTCTCTTCTTCCGGACCATCTCCACTATCCGCATTCGCCAGACGCACACATTCACAATCTACTGCACCATTAGCCGTCCAAGTCTGCTCAAACACCTCCGACTTCCGATTCTGCATGCGGACCCTCTACGCTGACCGGCGGGCCCACAAGGCCGACCGGGTCGTAATCGCCTACATAGCCTTCAGCACCGCATTCAATAGAGCCAATGCCACCATAGACCTTATCCGGGCCAGAATCAGCAGTGGTGCCAACGTGAAGCCAGAGGTCCTGGCGGGCTTGATGGGCTGCCGGGGAAACTACACTGAAGCGGGCCAGGCCATGATGGAGGCCCTCGGCAACTTGGACTCGGATACGTATTACGGTTTCGACAGGCTGGCGGGAAAGGCAGACAGCGGGGCAAAGGCGTGCGAGGGTGGGTTTGGACCGAAACCGTCACCCATGGCGAAGGAGAATGGGGACATGATGAAGCTTGCCAACATTTGTTCAGTTGTGGCTAATCTTTTTTCCTATTCGGATTAAGGAAGCGGCTGTCATTATAGTCATGTGTTTTATTTTATTTTTATGTGTATACTGATTTATGATTATTTTCCCTATATGTATGTATATAGGGAGGTATTTATTGTATCAATTTATCCTTGTGTTAATAAATGGAGAAATATTTTGTTAGTTGTGTTTCGAAATTGATTGATGACATATATAGCCCTCTTAGCTAGCAAATTGCACCTGTATTACGAAACTTGATCAGGCTTAACAAGTACGAACCCCAATCAAGTTTGCGTGAGTGTGCACCTCTATAACACGTGTCTAGGGGAAAGCCACCCAAACACTGGGTGGTCTCCAGCCCTGCTTCTTAAAAAAGAAAAAAATAAATAAATCAGCCCAATTTTATCAAATTAGTCATAAGTTATAATTGAGACCAAGAGGCAAGCCCAATCTACTTCTAAAAAATTAGTCCTGCCTACCTATGCTACACGAATGGGCCCAAAAGGCCTAATAAATGATACACAATACAATCGAATCCTCCAAATGGACCAAACCAATATTTAAGTTGAAAAAAAATAATCTATATATATATAATAAGAATTAACATTTACCATAAATAGTAATAAAGAAAAGTCAACCCACATTTATAATATACTATTTTTAGCAATTTTTTTATTTTACATTTTAATTTTAATTCATTATCAAAAAATTGGATGATTCCTAAATTAATGGGTTTTAGATGACGTATCCTGTTTCAAAAATTATAAATCATTTAAAATCGGATGGTTCCTAAATTAATGGTTACAAACTTTTCAAAGTTGTAATCTTTATGATATATTTTCTTTTTGAATTTTAATAATAAAATTATTTTAAATATATATCTTCTAATCCAAAAATTCAATCATGTTATATATATATACCCAATCAATTAATCTTGATTTTTTTTAAATTACTATGTTTATTTTTTATTAATATGCATAAAATAAAAATAAATAATTCATCTTTAGATATATAATTTATAATCTTAATATACTATCATTTGGTGTAGACATATGAATCATAAATTTTTTTTATTTCATAAAATTAAATATTATATTTAAAGAAAATAATAAAATTACTTTTGGATCAATCGGGTGATTGAATTAGGGTATTGCCCATGTTGATTGAATTACTTTTAGGTGATATTTAAAATAGTAAAAAAACTTGACATAACTTGGTTGGTCCCAGGTAACTAAGTTATGTATCAGTTTGACCAGACCAAATCGATTATTGAACCTAAATATAAATTTTAATATTGAAAATACTTTATTATGTAGTCCAAACTTCAAATAATCATATTAACAATACTTTTACGACAACATGATTAATAATTTATGAATATTTATATATCATTTTATTATTATTTATGTGAACAAAATAATTATTTTATTATCATTTTTATTAATGTACGGTAAATATAAGGTTTTCAGAACCAGAATGTCATCGAAACGATCAAGTTATTTTATTAAATCATTTGTGGTTGTTCAAATTTTAATACATAATACTTTAATATATATATATATATATATATATATATGTATAGTACTTTTTGTAATAAATTTAAATAAAAAGTGTTACTTAAATATCTAAACAATTTATAAATTCAAATGTTTAAACTAATTGATAAACAATTTATAAATCTCTATTTTATTTAAATATGTAATTTTATTTAAAATAATTTTTAATGTAACAAAATTTGTTTAGATCGTATCGATCCTACCAGTCCAACATATTGATGTTGACGGATTCGATAGCATATATTTTATTCAAGCGCAATATACTGGTTATAAACGTGTTCTCGGTCCATCCGGTCGGACTGTGTCTAACCCGGTTTAATTTAAAAATAATAGGTAAATCATGATTAATGTTATTTATTTATTTAATTTATAATATAATCAAAATATTGTTTTCCCGTGCATCGCACGGGCCATGCACTAGTAATACATTTAAAATTGAAAAACAAGAGTTCAAGTTTAGCGTACGCACAGGCTCTCCAACCTCAATTTAATTTGCGCACAGCGCGCAGGCTCGATCGACCGTCGGCACTCCGTCCGACCATCCATATTTCTCGCTCTCCGTCCTCCTCCATATACCTTTTACTATTATCTTAAGTTTTTTAGTTATTTTTATTCACCTTTTTCTTTGTAATTATTAATTTTGACCTAATTTAATAATCTTGTGCCTAATTTGTGTTGGGTGTTATTACTAACTATTTATCCTAATTTTATAAGTTTTTGGGTTCTTTGTTATTTTGTTCAAATTTTTGTACCTATTAACTTTGCCTTAATTCTATAATACTAGTATGAGTCTCGTGCAATGCACGAGTAAGAAATATTAATTAATATTTATAAATTAAAAAGTTTTATTAAATAATATTTATAAAATAAAAATATGGAATCAATATGTAATAAAATTTACCTATATTAATTTATTGACAATGTTATATAAAGTTTAAATTGTGAAAAATTATATAAAAATGTTTATTTAAAATTAGTACACAACTCGTGCGGTGCACACAACTGATAATAACTTACATTATATTCATTTCAAAATAAGTGTCATTTCAAAATTTTTATTCAGGAATTCGAATTAACTATAATGTGATTCCATAAAATATTTATTTAGGTAAAATTTTATCATATATTTAACAACCGATGTGAATAATAAGTATAAATATAAAATTTATATTGTTTCATTATTTAAAAATAAATTTATTTTTGCATAAACTATTCAAATAAAAAAAACTAAGTAGTTGAGTAATTTATTAAACTATAAATAATTGCTATTTCGTTTACGTTCAAATTAATATTGACCCATAAGTTATTGATTAATTTATTAAAATATAAATAATTGATTATTTCGTTTACATCCAAGTTAATATTGACTCGTAAATTATGAATAATTATTTTTTACTTTTAATTTTAAATATTTTTTTCAATATATTATATACCAAATTTAAATCATGCAACCAATAAAGGTAATAGCCGCAAGTTTTGTCAATATATTGTATTTCAAATTTAAATCGTGCAACTAATAAAGGTAATAACTGTAATATTTGACCAAAATAATTATGTACATTAATTACATTAATTTAGTTGGGATTTTTCAAATTTTGGCAAAAAAACTACCAAATTTTAGTAAATCTGAATTTTTAGGTGACAAACCAAATGTTTTTTACTGCTTTTTAATTACTATTTCAAGTAAATATTCATGTAGAATAAAATGTAGCGCGAACGATTGAAGAATTAACTCTACTCTAAAGTAGAGTAAATTATACAATAGAGTTGAGACAAGAGCTGGAGATAATCTAAATACAATAAATTAGTGTGAGTTGGAGTGGAGTGAACAAGAAAAAAAAAATGTATGATAACAGGCTGAAAATGAACTAAATCATCCAATTTTGTTTTAACTATTATTTAACTAATTTTTATGACTTTTGGTTTTGGGAGCTCAAAATCGTAATACTCCCTCCGTTTATTTTTAATTGTCGTTGGACTGAACTATTATTTTTTTCTTATTAATTGTCATTTTGAATAACTATGAACTTTTATCTCGTAGAAAAGTGATGAGAAAAATACAGATAACTGAGAAGGGGAGAGATACAGATATAAAACTATCCTGGAAAACTCAAAATGAGATAGAAAATTATTAAAAAAATATTTCAAAAGATTGAGGATATTTAGAAAAATCTAATACTCTAGGATAAGATAACTATTCTTTAAAATACGTATTTGTGTTTTTTAAGCTAAAACAACAATTAATAATTGGAGGGAGTAATAGGCAGTACGCTCCGATTCTAAGATAGTCTAATTACATTTTCAAAATCTTTGACTAATTATTGCTTCGTTTGTCATTTCTCCTCTAATTACCTTTTTTTTTTTTTTGGGTACAATCCCCTCTAATTACTTTACCAAGTCATAACTGCAATTAGTGGCGCGTGACAACGTTAGCCCAGTCCTCATTTGAAAGATCCCTTTTCTGTAGAAGATGTCAAAAAAGTGAAATTCTTTGTTTCACGCCATACTCCACCCATCATTATCCAAGTCTGAGAGTAAAAATGGTTAAAAGCAATTTTAACTGCAGAAGCGTGATACTGTAAAAGAAACAGCGAGTGGGGTGGTTTTGTACTTGCATTGCATACATACTCATGCTTTAGCGAAGACTGGCAGTCCACAAAAGAGGATACCGATAAAGATGGTGGCAGCCCATCAATCTCAATCATGAGAGAGAGAGAGAGCAGAGATTAGGACAAGACGTCGCTGCAAATGAAAGTGGTCGGGGCGTAGAGAGGAGAGAGAGAAGAACAAATGATGAGCAAAATTGAAAACCCCTTTCCTTAATTATTTATTCCCAGCCTGCTCTTGTCAAATTGCGTGAAAATCTTGGTTTGGGCAGCAGTGCTGAGAATCTGTCGCCGTGGTTTTTCGGAAAATTGAGGTAGTGTTTGGGCTGAGATGGGCGGCGGAGACGGTGGCGCGTCGCGGAAGTTGAAGAAAGCCGCCAAGAAAATATTTGTACATACATGTGGCTCTCGCTGCCACGGACAACAAGACCGCCTTCACAACTCCCCTGCCACCTCCGTAATTCTCTCTCCACTTTCTCTCACTACCATACTCTGACAATTCATTTTATATCTTACATTTTTTTCCCCTAGAATCAGCAATGTAAGTGTCAATTCCTAAAGAAAAACATTTTTTTATGTTGGATAATTTTCAGAATTTTCACAATGGGCTATTATGCTATGTGTTGAATTGTTGTATGAATTGTGGTTGCAGGAGTGTAGTGATTCGTCGATTTATTCTTCATATCCGCTGGAAAATCAAGTGAGGAACTTCAATGGCAAGAAGATGATGTCGAAAATTACCAATCCCAGTAATAATAGTCCTAATAAGGTACCCTCTTGCCATTAATTAACTTCTGGTATAAATCTATTTTATTGTGTTGTTTAATTTTCTTTACTGGAACCTCTTAATTTATCTTACCCAAAAAATAATCTT